TAAGCCCATTTGAAGTGATATAGTGCCCTTATCGTGATGGAATATAGTGGTCAGAAACGGGTTTTTGGACCTTGTGTTAATTTTTGGATCAAGTAGTCTTGAGATTATTTTTAGATTTGTCTGTGACTATATAATGGAATAGGCAATAGATTTGAGTTTCATGTTGAAGTAGTATATTAAGTAAACTTTTGAAGTTAAGAATTGTTTAATGGATTAAATATAAGATTTGATTTTCAAGTTTAAGTTGGTCTTTTAAGTAAAAAGTATATAATGGACTAGTATAAGATTAGAGTTTTAAGTTTGAGAATATATTAAGTTATAAATAAGGAGCTAACAATTACCTTTGAGAAATCTCAAGTCTACACTGGAGAGTAAGAGTAATTTTGTGTTTGGATAACTGTGGTTATCCTCCAAGTATATATTAGTTCAGTATTTCTTTGATTAAGTTTTTGCTTTGACTTAGTAATTGCTTGATGATATTAATTTAGTGCCATATTTGCTTGCTTAGTATATGGTCTTTAATATGATAAATTTCTGGATATTTTCTTGATATGTATTAATTTACTTTTTAATGGAGATGATCTTAACCTTAATTTAGTAAAGACATTAATGTAGTATTTTAATTATTTGAGTTGAGTATTGTATATAATTTCATTAGAGATAATTGTTTTAATTTTCTTATTGTGGGTATTAAAATTGCCTGTTCTGATTTTATAGCTGATAACATTTTGCTTTCAGTGAATTTATATTTTATTTTCATGTTTGTCTTAATTGGAAAATTGTAGAAATGTTGCATATTCAGATTGGTGCAGTGATTGTATATGATAATGAAGAAACTAAATGTTTTTTGATTGGCATATTAATTTGTATGATTGGTGTTGCATATTGGCTACTTTGAATCGCTTAATAAATAATGTATGAATTTTTTAAAGATTGTTAACTTTTCCTCACACTTATCTCAACTGAATAATACAAGTTTATTGAGTTAAATCTGTGAGAATAATGTGACTAATATGTAATATGAGAATAATATCGGATACTGAAAAGAAAATGCCATAAAGAGGGCTACATTTTTTTCTTTGTTTATTTATTATCATTTTCATTTTTTTTAATAAGTTGTAGCAGGCGAGAATTAATTATCTTTTCGTCATGCAAAAATAAAAAAGTTTTTTGCTTTACCTTTTATTTTTCATATATTTTTTTTTTTATAAAAATTCCCTGCTTTCTCCTCCCATTTTGACTTCAACTCCATTATCTTTTTTTGAAGATAATTC